ATGGCGGGGATACTTTTCCGTCGCAACCGCAAGCGAAGGGGCAGGCGGCGTCAAGGGTCGACCCGGGCTACGGGCACTGGCGGAGATTTTTTGTCGCAACCGCAGGCGAAGGCGCCGGCGGCGTCACAGGTCGGCCCGGGCTACGAGCAGAACTAATTGCCTAGCGCGCGCGCGCGAGCAACAGCTAAACCTACCGCCGGGGGAAGCTGGGTTGCGCCGAGGGCAAAGACTGCTACCGCCAGGGAAAGCGGTGCTGCGCCGAGGACGGAGGCTGCAAGAGCTGCCGGGGCTGCCAGGAGGCTGTGCAGGCGTGCGGGCACCCCAGGGACGAGACCACCAGGATGAGTGAAGTGGACCTTGTCGCATCCAGGCGCCAGGCCGACGCGCCACAGAAGTGGCGAAGCGCGGGGCTGCATAAACAGTCCAACGTGCTTGGATGCAGACCGACAGGGGGAACACACATGGTCGGTCAAGAAGGTTGAACCACTCCTGAGAGAACCAGCGGTCCAGAATCCCAACAGGCCAGCGGCAACGGCAGACACGGCCAGGCTGCGGCGGTGACACTGGCGGGGATACGTGAAGCGTGAAGAATTGCACCAGCATTGGCAATAGGTCGTGGTAGTTTCAGCAGCAGCTGCAGTAGAAGTAGTAGTAGTAGTAGTAGTAGTAGTAGTAAAAATAGTAGTAGTAGTAGTAGTAGTAGTAGTAGTAGTAGTAGTCGTAGTAGTAGTAGTAGTAGTAGTAGTAGTAGTAGTAGTAGTAGTAGTAGTAGTAGTAGTAGTAGTAGTAGTAGTAGTAGTAGTAGTAGTAGTAGTAGTAGTAGTAGTAGTAGTAGTAGTAGTAGTAGTAGTAGTAGTAGTAGTAGTAGTAGTAGTAGTAGGTAGTAATAGTAGTAGTAGTAATAGGAAAAGGAGGAGGAGGAGAGTAGTAGTAGTAGTAGTAGTAGTAGCAGTAGTAGTAGTAGTAGTAGTAGTAGTAGTAGTAGTAGTAGTAGTAGTAGTAGTAGTAGTAGTAGCAATAGTAGTAGTAGTTGTAGTAGTAGTAGTACTACTAGTAGTAGTAGTACTACTAGTAGTAGTAGTAGTAGTAGTAGTAGGTAGTAGTAGTAGTAGTAGTAGTAGTAGTAGTAGTAGTAGTAGTCGTAGTAGTAGTAGTAGTAGAAGTTTTTGCTGTAGTAAAAGTAGTAGTAGTAGAAGTTGTCGTAGTAGTAGTAGTAGTACGGCTACGGGTAGTAGTAGTAGTAGTAGTAGTAGTAGTAGTAGTAAACCGAGTAGAGGTAGTAGTAGTAGTAGTAAAAGAATTAGTAGTAATAGTAGTAGTAAAAAAATAATAGTACTAGTCGTCGTCGTAGTAGTCGTAGTCGTAGTAGTACTAGTAGACGTAGTAGTAGTAGTACGCGTAGAAGTGGTAGTGGTAGAATAGTCGTAGTAGTAATAGTAGGTCGTAGTAGTAGTAGTAGTAGAAGTAGTAGTTGTAGTAGTACGAATAGTCGTAGTAGTACTACAAGTACAGGTAGTAGTCGTAGTAGTAGTAGTAGTAGTAGCAAGAAAAAAATTAGTAGTAGTAGTCATAGTAGTATTAGTAGAGGTGGTAGTAGTAGAAGTAGTAGAAGTAGTAGTAGTAGTAGTAGTAATAGTAATAGTAGTAGTAGTAGTAGTAGTAATAGGGGTAGTAGTAATAATAGTCGCAGAGGTAGTAGTTATAGTAGTAGTAGTAGTAGTAGTAGTAGTCGTAGGCATAAGAGTCGTAGAGGTAGTAGTAGTAGTTGTTGTTGTAGTAGTAGTAGTAGTAGTAGTACTAGTAAAAGTAGTAGTAGTAGTAGTAGTAGTAGTCGTAGTAATAGTAGTAGTAGTATTAATAGTAGAAGTAGTAGTAGTACGGGAAGAGGTAATAGTAGTACTAGTAGACGTCGTAGTCGTAGTAGTACTAGTAGTAGTAGTAGTAGTAGTAGTAGTAGTAGTAGTAGTAGTAGTAGTAGTAGTAGTAGTAGTAGTAGTAGTAGTAAGTACTAGTAGTCGTAGTAGTAGTAGTAGTAGTAGTAGTAGTAGTAGTAGTAGTAGTAGTAGTAGTAGAGGTAGTAGTAGTCGGAGTAGTAGTATTAGTAGTACTAGTAGTCGTCGTACAAGAAGAGGTAGTAGTAGAAGTACGAGTACGAGGTAGTAGTAGTACGAGTAGAGGTAATATTAGTAGCAGTAGTAGTAGTAATAATAGTCAGCGTAGTAGTAGTAGTAGTAGTAGTAGTAGTAGTAGTACTAGTACTAGTACTAGTACTAGTAGAGGTAGTACGAGTAGTAGTAGTAGTAATAATAGTGAGAGTAGTAGTAGTAGTAGTAGTAGTAGTAGTAGTAGCAGTAGTGCTAGTAGTAGTAGTAGTAGTAGTAGTAGTAGTAGTAGTAGTAGTAGTAGTAGGGGAGGTACCGAAGCCTGTCATAGCAGTAAGAGTGCTCGGCCCCGCGGACGAGGCACCCACGAGGCGCCAACGGGCTAGCCCCGGGCAAAAACCCTCAGTGCAAAGACTGTCTGGGGAGTAAGGCCCCCTCTATATCATCATCTTTTCTCTTGATACTGCTTCCTCCTCCCCGCCATCGTCATCATCAGCATCATCATCAGGATCGTCCTTTTCATGCTCCTGCTCAGGCTCATCCTCCTCATCATCATCATCACCATCATCACCATCATCACCATCATCAACACCCTCATCATGATCAGCATCATCATCATCACCATCATCATCATCACCATCATCATCATCATCATCATGATCATCACAATCATCCTCATCACCATCATAATCAGAATCATCATCACCATCATCCCCCGATCGTCCTCCTTCTCACCTTCCTCCTACTCCTCCACCTTTTTTCTCGAGCGCATTCATCCACCGCTTGCCCCTCCGCCGCGGGCTCGCGCACTGGCAGACCAGAGGGGCTGGAGGAGGCGCCTGTCGCCACAAGGAATGTAAAATTGAGCCCGGCGGTCTGCCAGCGACTCGGCGCCGCGCGCAGCTCTCCCCAGGGAGGACCCTCCCCTGCCCTCCTCCCTCCTCCGTCGTCCTCCTTCATCCCTTTCCTTACGAATAGATCATCCCTGTCGCGCCCACGGACGTGTCGGTAGGGCAGGCCGGGTGTTTCGCCGTCGCGCCCACCGACGTGCCGGAAGGGCGGTAGGGCGGGCCGCGTGTTTCGCTTCTCACAGTTCCTCACCAGCTATGATCCTGCAGCTTGAAGTGTGCAGCATGTTGAAGGATGGATGGCGGGTGGTTTGCAGAATGTGGCTCTCGCCTGCGCGCTGAGCACATTCGTCATACAAGCTTACAGCAGCTTCAAGGATGGAGGGCAATTACTTTTCAAAATGTGGCTCTTGTCGTAGCGCCGTGCGCATTCGTCTGTAAAGCTTGCAACAGTGCCAGATATTCTGAAGTCCCAGGAACGGTGTTCTGGCACTGCTTAGGGTTGCCAGGGCGCAACAACCATGTTTACTTGTGATGTGAATTCTGTTCTGGCACAGTTTTGACTTCTCAGGACGTTGATTCGCGGCGATGAGATCCCAGGCGTGATGTTTTGGCACGATTGGAGATTATGAGACGAGTGTTTCTAAATTCGGCACTTCCCGCAATGAAAATACATGACTGTGGGGACAGATGTGGAGGGAACGTGGAGGAAGGGTTTATTGCAACATCGTAATGCGTCTTGGGTTTATACTGGTCCTCCTCCTCCTCCTCCTCCTCCTCCTCCTCCTCCTCCTCCTCCTCCTCCTCCTCCTCCCCCATCTTCTTCCTCATCTGCCTCCTCCTCCTCGTTTCTCTCCGCGTGGACCGTGGTGGTCAGGGTCTGGACGGCCCGCTTCGTGGGGCGGGAGATACATACCACTGCTTGCCGCCGCCCCACCCTCCCCCGCCACCCCACCCTACGGCGGGCACATATTGGAAAAACCGCACACCCTCCAGTTAGGCCCCGCTTCGTCAGTGCTGCCATCTGCGAACGTGTCGAGCCTCGGTTCTCCTTGATAACAAACGACTGCACCTCCTCCTCCTCCGCCTTCTCCTCCTCCTCCTCCAGTCCCTCCTCCTGGTCCTCCTCCTCCTTCTCCTCCCCCTCCTCCTCCACTCCGTTGCCTTATGAATAACTCCTCCCTGTCGCACCCCGAGGCCGATCGAAACGGCGGGCCGGGCGTTTCGCCTGAGACTTCCTCACCACTTATGACTTCGAAGCTTAAGAACTAACAGCAGCTTCACAGACGGAGGGCGGGTCGCTTCCAAAATGTGGCTCTCGCCTTAGCATCACGCACATTCGTTGTCAACATTTGCAAGGCGGGTTGTTTCAAAATGTGGTTCTCGCCTTAGCGCCGCGCATACTATTTGTAAACATTTGCCAGAGCTTCACGGATTGAGAGCGTGTGATTTTCAAAATGTGGCTCTTGCCTTAGCGACGCGCACATTCGTGTTTGTTTTAGTTGCTAGAGCTTCACGGATTGAGGGTGGGTGGTTTTCAAAATGTGGCTGTCGCCTTCGCGCCGCGCACATTATTTGTAATTATTTGCAAGACTTTCACGGGTTCCCATCGTCAACGTGCCAGACCAAAAAGGATGTTTTGGAACGACTCTGGGTTGTGAGGGTGCAACAGTTACGTTGATTCAGGGTGTTGATGTCCCAAGAACGTCGCTCTGGCACGGTTCCAGATCATCAAGACCCAACAATCATGTTGATTCGTGGCGTTGGAGTCCCGAGAATGGTGTTCTCGCACGCTTCAGGGTCTTCAAGGCGGCCGTCTCCCAGCGAGGCAATTCCCTCAGTGGAAACGAGCCTTTGTAGGGCAGGGAGCTGGGAGGGAGGCTTTACTCCAACATCGTTGATGAGTTGTGGGTTTACACTGGTCCTCCCCCTCCTCCTCCTCCTCCTCCTCCTCCTCCTCCTCCTCCTCCTCCTCACCCTCCTCCTCCTCCTCGTCTCCCTCCCCCTCTCCCTGTCCCCCCCATGAACTCGGCAGGTGGCCCCGCCGCACCTTCCGAGGCTCGGCGTCTCGCAGCTGGCTGGACTCCACCTCCTCTGCCGGTCGCGGAGGAGCGGGGCGCCCCGCAGACGCTGTTGCCCCTCCCGGCGGCAGAAGCAGCAGTCATCCAATACAGGGGTGTTGTTGAGAGATCGCCGCATGCATGCATGTGTTTTTGTTTGCCGTATCGCATTGCACGCAGTAGTGTGTCGATCATGCACTTGCTGTGTTCGCATGCCGCTGCCATTTTCATTCGAGTCCTGACGAGCCCCAGCAGGGGCGAAACGTTGACACGCGTACTGAAAAGGCACGGGCTTGAGAGCGCCATGCGAGTAAGGTAGGCGGCGCGCGCAAAGGGGTGGAGGGAGGGGGGGAGGGCTTCTCAGAAGGAGGCTGCTTCTTAGAAGGCGGCGGCCCTATCTATACGGACAAGGCCCGCGCCTTCTCGGAAGCAGGGGCGCTCCTCAGAAGCCCTCCCCCCTCCCCCCAAACCCCCCCTCTGCGCATGGCTGGGCACCATGGAAGAGGAGCTGAGTTACTAGGACACCAGCTGCACAGCACGCACGTCGAGTGAGAGGCCCACCCGCCAGCAGGGGGACCCCGGGGGTCCCGCGGAGGGCTCTCGTCCCCCAGTGGCCCCAGGGGGCCTCAGAGGCCCTGGGGCACCTCAGGAAGCTCTCACCTCGACGTCGGACGTGCCCCTAGATTTAGGTCGGGCATGTCCCCCTAGAGGCGGATTCAGTAATCAAACATGCGCAAGAATACGCAAACAAATCCTCCCCATACATGTTCTTAAACTATTATTGAATGTTCGCCCTGTCGAGGGACATGCCCGACTTAACATTAAATTTCTTGCGGCAAGATTTGGTGTCGCGCAAGCGTGCGTCTGCTGCACGCCTGTCGTCGGCGGCGCGCGCGAGTGGTGCGGGGCAAGGGCGGCGGCCTTCCAAGAAGGCGCGGGGGGGGGGGGGGGGGGGGGGGGCACTCCATGGGCGCGCGCGGCAGAGAATCGACAGTGGCCCACAGTGGAATAGCCCATGGACGCTCAAGAAGACACAAACGGAGCCAGCCAAACACACGCAAATGAACGAAAGCGATGCGGGACCGCACTGGTGCACTGCGAACGTCAATGCCGAGCGCATTGGTGCAGAACTCCACTGTCGCCTTGTCTGGGTGGGCGTTGTCTCAAAGCCCAGTACATCAGAACAACCACGAGAATTCTGCACATATCGTAATCTGGCAGGCCTATGCATCCACACCCAGGGCGGCAGCTTTGCGCCAGAAGAGGGAAACGGCTTCCGCGTAGACCGGCCCATCGTATGGATCTGTCCAACCCTGGAGCTCCTCTGTCGGGTAAGTGTCCAAACTGCTGCGGCATTGTTTGTCTTTTCTGGGCTTCTGGCATATCTTCTTCTTTTCGGGCTGGCCGATGCGGTTGTTGTGAAAATCGCGAGCATTGCAACGGCTGCCATACGTGGCATGAAAATACATACTGACAAAGACCAATGTTCAACAAGACCCACAAATACAAATCCTATCCGAAGCCGCTCTATTACAACTTGCGTTCTTCTGGCAGCCAAGACAGGATCAACGTCTTCTGGATTTTCACAGATGCATCCAAGACCAGACAACATCTTCGAGTAACATCCTGCTACACGCTTGGCGAATTCGCTCACGTTCCCCCCCACTTACACCAACCGCACCACCCCATACATTACGCTAGAATGATACGCTGCTCTGGCTGGCGAAACATTGTCACGAAATGCCCCCGATGCATATTCCAGTCATGACTGCCAGGGGCAGCTTGTCCATAAGCAGTCGCAGTCTCCTTGGCGCTCTCGCTTCAACCTGGCCCACAGTAGTCGCAATCTTGCCTATCAGTTACAATGGGGAGATGGTTGTCGCACACGGAGAACCTGGCATTACAAGACGAACGGTGCTCGGAAGAAAATAATCCCCAATGATTGCTGCCCACGGCAGTCACAAATATGCTTGAGGGTAACGCTGGACAGCCGACCGTCGTGAACAGGTTCAGGATGGACATCCCTCTTGTCGGAAAACGCACCACGCCACCTTGCTGAAATCGGCGTAGCTGTGCAATGTGCGGGCGCGTGCGATTTTCGGGGGCGGCCACGAGGGGGGCGCCCAAGAGGGGGGGGGGGGGGCGCAAGTCATGGCCCGCGGCACGTGCGCGGCCCAGGGGGGGAACCAGGGACGCATTGAAAGAAGAAGCAGCGCCATGAAATCTGGGGGGATATCATGGCCCCCGCCATGATATACACACACAGTCATCACCCCCCCTTCGGGACGCGCAGAGACACGCTAGTACTATATGTCCTCCTCGGAGGCGCGCGTCCGACCCGATCGTATAGTATTACCCCAGTGCGACCCTACCTGGAAGTTGGAGCCCCTAGGAAAGCAGCATTGGTTGCTATGCTATGCTATGTTATGCTATGCCATGCTACGCTGCGCTATGCTATGCTATGCTATGCGATGCGATGATATGCTGCACTATGCTATGCTATGCTATGCTATGCTATGCTATGCTATGATATGATATGCTATGATATGGTATGATATGATAAGCTATGATATGTCATGCTGCGCTGTGATATGGTAAGCTATGCTATGCTAAGCTGCGCTATGTTATGGTACGCTATGATATACTATGCTATGCTATGCTGCACTGTGCTATGCTGTGTTGTGCTGTGCTGCGCTATGATATGCTATGCTATGCTATGCTGCGCTATGCTATGCTATGCTGGGCTATGCTATGATGTGTTGTGATGCGCTATGATATGCTACGTTATGCTATGCTATGATGTGCTCTGCTATGCTAAAGCTCAGCGAAGCTAGGATGAAGGTACGCTAAGCTAAGATAAGCCTGAGCTGATATGAAGCTAAGCTATGCTAAGATGAAATAAGCTAAGCTAAGATGGGATAAGCAACGCTAAGCTAAGGGGACGTAACTGGGGGAACCGCGGGCGGATCCTGGGGGAACCGCCCGGGGCGATTTACACTGCCCAGCCCCTTTAAGATAGAGAGTAAGAACCCTTCTAGGCAGAGCCTAGGTAGGGAATAAAGCCCTTGCAGTAGATCGTTTCTCGAGCGGTACGGCCAGAAAGCGCCCGCCAGGATGCATATAATGTAAGATTTCTCGGTGCGCGCGTCGCCCCTGGGGGGGCGACACCCACATAGTATTAGTATGTTGTTGAAGAGGAGGAGGAGGAGGAGGAGGAGGAGGAGGAGGAGGAGAAGGAGGAGGACGACGAACGACGGTGAGGAGGGGCAGGAGGAGGAGGAGGAGGGGGAGGAGGAGTAGGAAGAGGAGGAGGAAGAGGAGGAGGAGGAGGAGGGGGAGGAGGAGGAGGAAGAGGAGGAGGAGGAGGAGGAGGAGAAGGAGGAGGAGGAGGACGAACGACGAGGAGGAGGAGAAGGAGGAGGAGCGACGAGGAGGAGGAGGAGGAGGAGGACGACGACGACGACGACGACGACGAGGACGACGAAGAGGAGGACGACGACGACGAGGAGGAGGAGGAGGAACCGCCGACTCCTGGCCGCCCCCGACGATTTGCAGCGCCCCCCTCCGGGCGAGCCTGACTGGGCACCCGCGGCCCACACTGGCGGGTGCCGAGGATCTGGCGCCCCCCTCGGGGGGCAGGCGCTCGGGCGCACCCGCGCGGCGCGCTGGGGGGTCCGCGGGAGGCGCCGCAGCAGGCGCGGGAGCCTGCAGGTGCGGCGCAGACCCCATGTCGTAGGGGAACGAAGAAGGACGGAAGCATCAGAAGAACTCGGAGGGAGAGGAGGAGGAGGAGGACGACGACGACGATGACGACAACGAGGAGGAGGAGGCGAAGGAGGAGGAGGGGAACGAAGAATGGCATAAGCATCACCTCGTGGGGGAACGAGGTCCGCGCAGAACCCCCCGCCTGGCGCCTTCTTGGAGCGCCGCCCCCTCGTGCGCGCGCCTCCACACAGGCACGCGGCGTGCCGGCTCCTCGGTCCGCCTGGGCGAGCGCGCTGCACTGCTCGCAGGGTAGCTGCTCGCAAATGGCCTGGATCCGCCGCGAAGGAGGAGGAGGAGGAGGAGGAGGAGGGAGAGGAGGAGGACGAGGAAGAGTAGGAGGAGGGAGAGGAGGAGGGAGAGGAGGAGGAGGAGGAGGAAGACGACGACGACGACGACGAGGAGGAGGACCGCATCCTAGTCGAGCGCATTCCAATACTCGCAGCACATTTCCTGGATCCGCCGCGAAGGGGACTTGACGATCCATTGCATCGAGGTCAGCAAGTTTTCTTTCGGACGTTTGCGAGTAGGCACTTTGCGAGTAGTGAAACCCGCGAAGAGGAATTTACAATCCATGGCATAGAGGAAAACGTGTTTTACTTCGGACGTTTGCGAGCAGGCACTTTGCGAGTAGCGGAACGCGCTAGGTGAGAGCTGGCGCGGCAGGTGCAACGTTAGGGGAACGAATAAGGACCTAACCAGAAAAAACTCGGAGGTCCGCGCGGACCTCCGAGTTTTGTATGGTTCTGTCCTTCTTCGCTCGCCTAGCAAAGGAGAGATGGGGTCTGCAGTCAACCCGTATGGTAGGGATGCGCGATAAGGATGCCGGGGCCTCGGGAGGCCGTGTCGACGCTCTGCGAGCGGGGGGCGCGGCACACGGAAGTGGCCAGGGATGGTCCGAGGAGGCAGGGATGCCAGGGTACCCCTCGGGAGGGCTGCCCATCCCCACTATGCGGGTTGACTGTAGAGGTCCCAACGTTTTTGTGTGGTCTACAGCGCTGCAACTCTGCCACGACGGCGGAGCCCAGGGTGGCGACAACCAAGGGGCTACACAACTACACACCTTGCGAGGGGGGAGACGAAGAGGCGAGGAACCGGGGGCGGCGACAGCGGGTGAAAGGGGAGGGGGTCAGCAGGAAAGAGGGCGCGAGGTGGCCGGGAGAGAAGAAGGAGTTACGCGATCGACCATGGGACCCTTGATACCCATCATCCTTCGGCGGTAATCGGCGGTCTCTCGGCGGCAATCGGCGGCTCTGGTCATAATCGCATGCGCGGTCTTTGAGGGCACTCCGCGCTAAAGCCGGAAGACTAGGTTCAACAAGGGGCCCATGATCAAGCACCGAAACAGGGAAAGGGAGAGTGCTGCAGCGCTGGGACCCCCTCCCAGACCGTGGACATCTGCTAGCGATCATTGGCGTGCCCGACGCGCGCGCTGAAGATGAGAATGAGGTTTCCTCTGTTTCTTATTATTCTTCTTGTTATTATTATTCTTCTTATTATTCTTCTTATTATTATTCTTCTTCTTCTTATTATTCTTCTTCCTCATCCTCATCCTCATCCTCATCCTCATCCTCCTCCTCCTACTCCTCCTCCTCCTCCTCCTCCTCCTCCTCCTCCTCCTCCTCCTCCTCCTCCTCCTCTTCTCTTCCTCTCCTCCTCCTCCTCTCTCTACCTCTCTCATCCTCCTCTTCTCGTCCTCCTGATTTGCCCCGTCCTCCTCCTCCTCCAAACTTCTCCTCCTCCCCCTCCTCCCCCTCCTCCTCCTCCTCCTCTCCTCCTCCTCCTCTGCTTCCTCTTCCTCCTCCTCCTCCTCCTCCTCCTCCCCCTCCTCCTCCACCTCATCATCATCATCATATTCCTCCTCCTCATCATCATCCTCCTCATCATCATCATTCGTCCCTTTTTCCTCCTCCTCCTCCTCCTCATCCTCCTCCTCATCCTCCTCAGCCTCCTCGTTCTTCCTCCTCCTCCTCCTGCCTAAAACACGGGTAGCTTAAGGCAGCGTACACGTTTGGGATCGATCTAGCCATGGGGCGGCCAGCTCATTGCCATCGCGCGGCGTTTGTGGGGCTCCCACCACAAAGTCATCCAGAATGATCTTCGTATGTGCTGGAGGTTGCTGATGTTGAATGGCAGAAATGTGCCAGTTCTTTATGGCCGTGCCTTATGGCTTACTTTCCACTGTCGTTCTTTGAGATTGCACTTGTGGCAGCTCAGTCTGCATAAGTATACGAGTGTGGCTTTGCCATCCCAGGCGATCGGCGAGCCAGGGGGGGTCTTTAGTGGATGATCGTCCAGGGCTAGCGGCTGTTTCTGTTCAGTGCTGCAGTGGTTTGCGTGTGGTGCAGATGCGTTTTTCTATCACAGCGCATGGGTGTTAGTTTGATTCCTTGAGGCGTGCTTCCTGCATTTCCTGCCCAAGATATCAAGACAGGTGGGGCTGTCAGCACGCCCGCCTTGAGAGCGTGGCTCACGGCTTCGGCAATTTGGTACCCTACACGTTTCTTCGCGGTACTCACTCGACCCAGTGTTATGGTGGTTGCTGCTCGCAGTATCCTGCCTGTGCTAGGTCAAACGTTACGCTTCCACTTGCAGTACACGAATGTGTTGAATGTGAGTACTATCCCGCGTCGTCGGTACTCTGGCGCTGCCCTGTGCGCCTATGCTTGAAACTGTACCGCTGTCGCATTGACAGTTTACAAGTTGGACTTGTGTGGCGTTCAAGTAGAGCGCCTACTCCATCATGTTCAGCGTAGGGGTCTACCCCATCCGACAGGGAGGAATCGAAGTGTTTCTCATGGCGTGTTGGAATTAGTCGCTCGTAGCAGTGGGCATGACAGAAAACAAGCAATGACTCTCGATGTGCTTGGCCAAATAACCCTCATTTTCGATACAGTGCATTGCGCCTCGTCTTGCTACTTTGCTGTCTGGGATTTACGCTCGTTGGTTGCTGGGGAGGTGTTGCTCGTGATGCGGATGTGGCGGCGCCGTGTCCGCAAATGCTGAGGCTTTTTGCCTGGACTTCATCTTCTCATCCTGTCGGCTGCGCGCTTCTCGTATAACAAAAGTTACGTTTTGGTGGTCAGCTTCACTCCTGGGAAGGTGCCGATGAGCATGAGGTTATCGTTCGGCACAGGGGCGAAGGCCTCTTCCCAAGTATAAGTTACCCAAGTGGTGGAGCAGTGATGTGTTATGTTACGTTCTCTGTCGTTTGGCTGCAGCGACGAGAATAACATCCAAGCGGTGGGCTTCTGGTGTTA